CCTATGAAATCATTTCCCTGAACACGCTTAGTAATCTTTCCGCCCATTATTTATCTTCTCAATAAAAGGACTCTGCGAGAAGTGCTTGGGACTATTCTGCACCTATGGTTAGCCTCACCTCTTGTAGCTACTGTCAATCTGTGTCTCACGTGGTCATTTATGCAGTCGTGGCAAACTCCATAAAACTAGAACTTTCCAAGACTGATTAAAAAAATAGTATTTTATATCAGTTAGTTGGGGCACCGTGAGAAACAAGCTTTTCTGGTCCTTGTCATTGCTCTTTAGCTCACTTTCATTGTAGAAAGTATATATCATATAACAGAAAATTTTTTTTAAGTATTGGGATTTTAAACATACTTCCAAAGAATTAAAAGCATACTTAGAAGAGTATATTTCTTATTTCATTCTTTCTTTTTTTTTAGAGACAGAGTCTTCATTTTGTCACCCTCAGTAGAGTGCCGTGGCATCACACAGCTCATAGCAACCTCCAGCTCTTGGGCTTAAGCAATTCTCTTGCCTCTCCCTCCCGAGTAGTTGGGACTATAGGTGCCTGCCACAGCGTCCAGCTATTTTTTTGTTGCAGTTTGGCCAGGGCGGGTTCAAACCTGCCACCCTCAGTATATGGGGTCGGCGCCCTATTCACTAGGCCACAGGCACCACCCTATTTTTTTTATTTTATTTTATTTTATTTTATTTTGAGACAGAGTCTCACTTGGTCACCCTGGGTAGAATACCATGGCATCATAGTTCACAGCAGCCTCAAACTCTTAGGTTCAAGTGATCCTCCTGCCTCAGCCTCCTGAGTAGCTGGAACCACAGGCACCCACCACAAAGCCTGGTGGTTTTTCTATTTTTAGTAGAGATGGGGTCTCACTGTTGTTTGGGCTGTTCTTAAACTACTGAGCTCAAGTAATCCACCTGCCTTGGCCTCCCAGAGCACTAGGATTACAGGCGTTTGCTACCACGCCCAGCCAGAATAATATATTTCTAATTAAGTTCATTCATTTCTAAAACATTTGATCATTTACTATGTGCTAGATTCCAAGGAAAGTATTTTTTGTAAGGGAATAGCTTAAAGAAAAATTAGTAACTGGCTGTCAGCAGCCTTCTTTTTCTTTGTTATCAACCTGGAAGAAGCATTTAGGCATCTTAATATATACATAGAATTAGTAATATCCTATATTTTAAAGTCTGAGAGTGAAGCCTTAGAAATTAAAAAAAGACAAGAAAGACGGCATAGAGATGGAGACTAGTTAGTAGAAAGAAAATTTAATCATTTTCCTTTGGAATAACATTATAGACATTGTGACTTATGAAATCAGCAGGAAAGAATTGTCCTTTTAATTATAGCTTTCATAAAAACAGTGTAACTAAACTATTTTAATAATAAAATCAAGGCGGCGCCTGTGGCTCAGGGAGTAGGGCGCTGGCCCCATATACTGGAGGTAGCAGGTTCAAACCTAACCCTGGCCAAAAAGCTGCCAAAAAAAATAATAATAAATAAAATTAAATTTAAAAAAATCATTTGTATACTGACTAAACAAAATTAGTCACCAGATATACAAAATTATGAAATATTTAAAGGCTCTATAGATAACACTATAGGTAGTTGAAGGTATCATACTTGAACATATTCCCAAAGTCCCCTCTCTTATGCTTTTATTACAGCATGTGGAAATGGAATCTGGGAGACTCTAATGTCTTGAAGTAGATAATTTGGATTCCCCTTCCCCTAAAATCCAGTTTTATATTAAAAAGGTCTTTTCATGTGCAATGATAAACTATTTAATGTACTGTACATAAAACTTGTATTCTGTAGGTTGAAGTTATAGCCTACATTCCCTTTACTACTTAATTGTTTGGCATATAAATCAATTACTTAACTCATTTTAATAATCAGATAATTATTTTTATACTATCTGTTTCCACTATTGGTGTGAACTCTTAAAGGTCTAGGGCCTTGTCTCATTTATATTTTCATTTATTTATTTATTTAGTATGTATGTTTATTTAGAGATAGGGTCTCACTTTCTTGCCCTGCCTGGAGTACAGGGGCCCAATTATGGCTCCCTGTAACCTTGAGTTCCATATTCAAGTGATACTCCTGCTTCAGCCTCCTTAGTTGCTGGGACTACAGCTGTATGCTACCATGCCTGGCCAGTTAAAAAATTTTTTTTGTAGAGTTGGGTCTGGCTATGATGCCCATGCTGGGCATCTTGAACTCCTGGCCTCAAGTGATCTCCCACCTCAACCTCCCAAAGTGGTGGGATTACAGGCATAAGCCAGTGTGCCCATTTTTATGTTTTTAATACCTAACATAGTTTAGCTTTGTTAGAAACAGGCTGTTCTTAAAAGAATAAAAGAAACAGGCTATTCTTAAAAGCAGTTTATATTGGAAGCTTTAGAAAATAGCCCAGGAGGGTTAAAGAGTATGAAATGAATTTCAGATCTTTTGCATTTAAGTTTCATATATTTTGGTTCTGAAGTTGTGTACTTTTTAGACTCTAGATCTCGTTAGAGCATTACAAGATCTAGAAAATGCAGCTTCAGGTGATGCAGCAGTTCATCAGAGGATAGCTTCTTTGCCTGTTGAAGTCCAAGAAGTATCCCTACTAGATAAAATAACAGGTAAGAAAAGAAAATGTGATCCAGAACTCTTTGGGCACTGGGATGATGGAACAGTATATGTCACTGGTTTTGTTGTGTAATATTTTATTATCCTGTGTTTTTCTTAGATAAAGAATCTGGAGAAAGGCTTTCTAAAATGGTAGAAGATGCTTGTATGTTGCTGGCAGATTACAATGGCAGACTGGCGGCAGAAATAGATGATAGGAAGCAACTCACTCGAATGTTAGCAGATTTTCTTCGTTGTCAAAAGGAAGCCCTTGCAGAGAAAGAGCATAAATTGGAAGTGCGTAACTTTTTCCTTCTTTAGCATTTAATTTATTTAGCTTTTTTTTTTTTTGATAGTAATTTAAAAATACTTTTATGTACCTGTATGTTTGGCATTTTTTAACTATAAACCTTAGAACTTTTTAGGAAATAGCTGAAGTAAGCAGCTCTTTGAACCAAATCAACCTGTCTAGAATTGATTGCATTTTAAAATTACATGAAAGTCCATGGAATAGTAATTTACAAAAATAATAGGAAAATAGCACTTGGTATGAAGTCTGTTGTTAACTGCAGTAAATTGTGGTTGGATTTATTTAATTTTGTTTTGAGTACATTCACTGTTTTAGGTATATCATTAAGTTTTCAAATTACTAATTTATTCTATCCCTGATTCTGATGCTTACCATATTACCCCCACTCCTGGCTCACACCCTTAGGTGCCAGTTCATTGCTCCTTTAAGTAACACTGTTGATGAGAAGTCTGGGGGTGTAGGAGGTAACAGAAAGAAATACACCCATCTTTTCTTTGATTAGAGTAGCCTTGATAAGGGTTAGGTGAGCCAGATTTAGTTTTATTTAAAATAAACTTTTAGTGGAGTAGTTCTTATTTAAATTGTTTACTGCGGTAGCAGTTTCTTATTCTAATACTATATAGAATTTCTAATTTGTCTAATTTCCTTTATTTGCAGACAGTTCACCGTAAATTTGTAGATATGTCATGTACCCTATTAAGTTGCTTTTATGCATGCTTAGTTCTTGGCTTAGCAGTAGTCACTTCTGCCAACAATGGTGCTTAGATTGCTCTTACTACCTGTGAGATTAATCCTACCCAAATTCCCAGCTCAGTTCAGCACTACTTCTTTTTAGTTGCTCCTCTTTTGCTCACACAAACACCTCAGATAATTTTTGTCACCATGTTTACCTTTGAAGAGGTTGCTCACTTCTATATGGAAAGGAAAAGGAGTTTTTTAGAGGATGAATTTGATAGTTAACTAGCCAGTATTTGATCTTGTGATGAAACTTCAGTCTTAGACATACTGTTGTTTATTGCCCACAGAATTAAGGGTAAGTAATGTCATACAGTTTCTGTATTTCAGTATGGTTTCTTTAACTTCTGTCAAGCTTCTGTTGCAGGTATTGGACATGGGCGTATCTTCTAATGATGTCATCACCATTAGCATATTCTTCCTGCTAAAAATAAATATCAACCTTCAAAGCCTGTATTGTCTCATGTTTTTCAAAATTGAAGAGAAGACTAAAACTTTTATTGTTCTACTTTCTACTGCTGTCTCACTTATTTGTCACCATTTACAAAAATAGAATTTATATAAATAGAAGTTTAGAAAATCAGATGCCATTCCTTAAAACCCCTCTTGCCCCAGTACCTTACAGCTAGCTTTTATAGTTGATAGTCACAGATGGTGAGGCTGATGATGATAATAATGTTAACAGTTAGGCATGTGTCAGGTACTATTGTAGGCACCTCACATAATCAACTCATTTAATCTTACACAGCAAGGTGGATTATTATCCACACTTTACAGATATGGAACTGAGGTACAGGGAGATTAACTGAGATTGCCTAAGGTCACAAATTATTTAAAACCCAGGCAGTCTTCCTGTGGAGTCAATGTACTATCAAAAAGTTGTATTTGCATCCTGTAAAAGAAGTGTTAAGATTATAATATTTCTCCAGCTCTTTCTGCTCCCTCTCTTCTCACAAGTAATCACTGTTTTGAAATACAGGATTATAGGAACATTTTTGTTGTTGTTCTTTTACATAACTGGAAACCACCTCAGTTATGATCAGCATTTTTTTTTTTGGTAGAGACAGAGTCTCACTTTGTTAGCCTCGGTAGAGTGCTGTGGTATCACACAGCTCACAGCAACCTCCAACTTCTGGGCTTAGGCAATTCTCTTGCCTCAGCCTTCCTAGTAGCTGGGACAATAGGCACCCGCCACAGTACCTGGCTATTTTTTTGTTGCAGTTTGGCCGGGGCCGGGTTTGAACCTGCCACCCTTGGTATATAGGGCTGGCGCCCTACCCATTGGGCCACAGGCGCTACCTGATGACCAGCATTTTTTTACAAGTAAAAGAAATGTTTAGGATTTTGTTAAAGTTCATAATCATGATGGTTGGGTGTTCACATGCACACATTGAGATGTGCCTCCCTCAAACTTTGTCATGACCTCTGCATATTACCCATCTGACAGGGAAAAAAAATACTTAGATTTCTACATAAACTTGGAAATTACTGCACAAAACTACTTTTTTTTTTTGAGACAGAGCCTTAAGCTGTCACCCTAGGTAGAGTGCTGTGGCATCACGGCTCACAGCAACCTCCAACTCCTGGGGCTCAAGCAATTCTCCTGCCTCCACCTCCCAAGTAGCTGGGACTACAGGCACTGGCCACAACACCTGGCTATTTTTTAGTTGCAGCCATCATTGTTGTTTTGGCAGGCCCTGGCTGGATTCGAACCTTCCACCTTAGGTGTATGTGGCTGGCGCCTTAGCCACTTGAGCCACAGGCGCTGAGCCTAGATCTACTTTGTTTTTAAAATAAGTATGTAGTATATTCATTATATGAATATAATTTTTTCCTCTTTTAATGGTGTCAGATTGTCTCTGTTAAGTAAGTCTTGACTTAAACCACTGTTGGTTCTTGGAAACTGGGATTATAAGTGAAAAGACATGCCACTCTTCCTGGAATGTTTCATTCAACATAGCTTCGTTGATGAGAAAAAAATTGTGTTTGTTACGCATTGTTTCACTTAAAGTCTGTTTCCAGGAATCTATTCACAATGTTAAATGAGGACTTGTATACTACAGAGAACATCTTGATGATGCAGATTTGCAGTTTTTTAAATATATCTGCAGGATTGATTCTCAAAAGAATACACCTGGGTCAAAGGGAATTGATGTTTAAATGTTGATGATGTACTCAAGATCTCAAAAGATTTTGCCTTGTTAAACTTTTTGCAGCGTGAATCTTCTTTTCTTGCCCACACTAAATGTCAGTAATCTTTTTAATTTTTGCATATCTGAGGTGTTAAAAATTCTTTTGTCATTATATCAGTTATCTTTTAAAAATATTAGTTGTTTTATTTCTACTACAAATTCCCCATGTGTATTGACCACTTTTCTGTGTGGTTCCATTTCATCTTAACCTTTGTCTTTGCCTTTGTGGCTTCTGGAGTTTCTAGTTACACTTAAGATGGCTTCCTCCGTAACTGTGAAAAGGCTTTACCAATTTTTAGTATTTTTTTTCTGGTAATTTTATCCATTGGAATTTCTGTTTAGGGGATGATATGGGGTCTGTTTGAAAGTGATAGTAAAATGTGCTTTTATAATTTATTGATGAGTCAGTTAGTGATTTAGTCTTTTATACTGCTATTGTGAAATATCATTTCTGTCATACTTAATTCTTATATGCAATGTTTACATGGGTTAGTTAGTCCCTTTCCTGCTGGCACATTTGTCTTACCCACCTTTAATTACATAGTACATTTTGATTTTTTATTACTTTCTAGTATTCATGTTTTTATTTGAGGCAGATTCTCATTCAGTGCCTTGGGTAGAGTGCTGTAGTTCCATAGCTGACAGTAACCTCAAACTCTTAGGCTCCGGCAGTCTTCTTGCCTCAGCCTCGTTAGTAGCTAGAATTACAGATACCTGTCACAATGCTCAGCTGGGTTTTCTGTTTTTTAGTAGAGAAAGGGTCTGAGTCTTGCCCTTGCTCTTGCGTCGGCTAGTCTTGGACTCCTGAGCTCAACCAATTCACCTGCCTCAGCTTCCCACAGTGTTAGGATTATAGGCATGACCCATCTCGCCTGGCCTTCATGTTTATAATTTTAATTACAGTTACTGTGTAAACAAGTTTTTATTTTCCCCCTTCACTTATTTTCACATGTTTTGCCTTCATGTTTTTTTTTTTTTTTTTTTTTTT